AGGAGGTGAGTCTGGCGGGACGCCTGACTCCTACTCCTGAGGGGAGGGGAGCAGGGGGGTCTGGAGTCCTGGTTCTGAGAGATGAGAAGCTGGAGGTGGAATTTTGAGTCTCTTAGAGAAAAGGAACAGGGGACACAGGCTTATGAACGGGGAGAGTGGGAGGCCAGATTCCTAGGTCCCCAGAGGAAGGAATTCTGGGGGCCTAAAACCCGAGCTGGAGGGAAGATGTGACAGGAGGGCAAGGTTTTTGGGTTGAAGGCAGGAAAGGAGGCTGAGGGACAGGGCTCCAGGGTCTGAGGGAGGAGGTAGGTACAGACTAGGGATCCTAGGTCTGCATGGGGAAAGGGGTGCAGTCTGGAGCTCCTGGGTCTGAGGGAGGAGGTGGGTGCAGACTGGGGCTCCTGGGTCTGAGGGAGGAGGTGGGTGGAGATTAGGGTTCCTGGGTCTGAGGGAGGAGGTGGGTGCAGACTGGGGCTCCTGGGTCTGAGGGAGGAGAGGGGTGCAGACTGGGGCTCCTGGGTCTGAGGGAGGAGGGGGGTGCAGACTGGGGCTCCTGGGGCTGAGGGAGGTGAGCAGGTGGGTGGAGACTGGGGCTCCTGGGTCTGAGGGAGGAGGTGGGTGGAGACTGGGGCTCCTGGGTCTGAGGGAGGAGGTGGGGGGAGACTGGGGCTCCTGGGTCTGAGGGAGGAGGTGGGTGTAGACTGGGGTTCCTGTGTCTGAGGGAGGAGGTGGGTGCCGACTGGGGCTCCTGGGTCTGAGGGAGGAGGTGAGGGGAGACTGGGGCTCCTGGGTCTGAGCAAAGAGAAGGGACCTGGAGACCAGGAGTCCTGCTTCCTGAACTCCCTGTCTCTCCTGCCCCAGCACAGAAGGCCCTTCCTCTGTGGCAGCCACAGAGGCTCAGACAGGACACATGGCAGGTCCCCGGCTCCAGACCCTGCTGCTCCTACTGCTGTCCTTCACCCTGGGATCTGCTAGACAAGCAGGTGAGGACCACCCTGGAAGTCCTGCCCCTGCCCCTGGGCCTCACAGTCCCCCACCTCCCCTCTCCAGGCCCCCTCTCTCCAAGGAGCCCCTGAGTCAGGACCCTCCCCTGCAGCAGCTTCCTCCCATGGAGACCCGCCCCCTGGGCTGTGTCCCTTTCTTCCTGCTCCCTCCTGACTCCTGGGCTCTGGGTGCCCTCTAGGCTGCTTCCCGCCCTCAGTGTCTCTCTCAGCAGACACGGGGCTGCCTCCAGACCAGATGTTGCCCTGGGCTTCTGAGCTGGCTCCCTCCATCTCTCTCCACCTCCGTCTGCAGTTGCTTCTGCCCTGGGCTCTGTGTCTGCCTCTGCCCTTCTCCACGCCTTTCTGTCTGTCCCTGCGCATTCCTCGGTGATTCCTCAGCTCGGCCTGGAGGCGTGCTTCCCATGTGCTCCCCATGTCTCTCTCCAGGAAAGAATGCGGGGGACCGGATTATTGATGGGGTTCCATGTCCAAGAGGCTCCCACCCCTATCAGGTGGCCCTGCTCAAAGGCAATCAGCTGCACTGTGGGGGCGTCCTGGTCAACGAGGAGTGGGTGGTCACCGCCGCCCACTGCCAGATGAGGTGCGTGCGTGGCAGGGAGTCCCCAGAGCTCCCTCTGGGTCTCTGCCCCCTCCCTCTGGGTCCCTGTCCCCTTATCTCTGCACCCGTGTCCCCTCTCTCGGGGGCGGGGCCTCTCTCTCTGAATGTCTCTCTCTGAATGTCTCTCTCTCCTCTCAGCGACTACAACGTGTACATGGGCAGCTTTCGGCTCAACAGCAGGAGAGGCCAGAAGATCAAGGCCACGGAGTCCTTCGTCCACCCCCAATACTCCACACAGACCCACGAGAATGACATCATGCTGGTGAAGCTGAGCGAGTCCGCTAAGCTGACGTCGGCCGTGAGGAAAGTCAACCTGCCCTCCCAGTGCGATCCGGCCGGGACCCCATGCACCGTTTCCGGCTGGGGCACCATCACCAGCCCCGAAGGTGAGGCTGCTCGGGGACCTAAGAGCACTGGCCATCGGCCCCTCTGCCCTCGGACCCAGGAGTATAGGTCCTAGGTCCTTGTCTCCCCCCTTCCCCACCTCCCCACACGCCAACCTGCCAACCCAGGAGGCCAGAAGCCATGGCCCCTTGTCACGTCTATAGTACGGAGCCCCACAGCCCCTGGTTAGTTCAAGGTGCAGGGCCCACACCTTCTCCCATGAGCACCCAAGGCGCTCCAGGCCCACTCTGTCTGACTGCCCTGTACTGCCCGCCTCCACAGTGACCTTCCCGGCGGAGCTCATGTGCACGAACATCAGGCTCATCACCCCCCAGAACTGCAAGAGGATTTACAAGGACCTGCTGGGGAAATCCATGGTGTGTGCCGGCGAACCCAACTCGAAGACCAACGCCTGCAATGTGAGGACCCCGCCCCCCCATTCCCTCCCTGGCCCCATGTCCCGCTTCCTCCCAGCCCAGAGTCTGGGGGCTCCACCCTGGTGCCCAACCACCTCTAGCACACTTCACCGTCCTGCTCTCCTGGCTCTCTCGGCCCACTTCTCTGCGTAGGGCTTGAGTGGGAGCCCATGGGGGCTGGGGTGGCCCTGGAGCTGGGCAGAAAGTTGAAGGGAACGGACTGACGGTGAGAAAATGGGGAGGTGAGATGTGGGCAAGGGGAGTGAGGCACACTGGCTTCAAGCACCCACTTTTGGGGGGCACCAAACACTCAGTGGCCAAGGTGCATCCTATTCTAATGCAATATTTTTTAAATATATATTTTATTGATTTTTTTACAGAGAGGAAGGGAGAGGGATAGAGAGTTAGAAACATCAATGAGAGAGAATCATCGATCAGCTGCCTCCTGCACACTCCCCACTGGGGATGTGCCCGCAACCAAGGTTCATGCCCTTGACCGGAGTCGAACCTGGGGCCCCTCAGTCCGCAGGCCGACGCTCTATCCACTGAGCCAAACCGGTGAAGGCTAATGTAATATTTTTTAAATCATCGTAAAAGTCCCTGATGGACAAAACTATCAGAATTTTCCATAAAGACCCATGTTCGACTCAATTGTCCATTTGCCTCCGGCTTTCGTATGGTTTGGCAAACCATGGTGCCATCCTCACGTATCTAAAATTGGGGTAAACTGATTGTCACACATTTTTTTAAAAATCATATTAAATGTGATTCTCAGAGCATTGCACTAAAAATATTGTTCATCGCCATCCCTGAGATTTCGTGCCAGAAGTTTATGTCTCATTCACCTCGACTGGGTCCTGCCTGGGAAAGGAAGGAGCCCCTCCCTCCTCTTTGCTCCCCCTTCCTCATCTCTGTAACCTCATCTCTGTCTCTGAGAATCAGCTCTCCTTACATTTCATTTCCTTGTTTTCGTTTGTGTTCTCTCTATGTTGGGACCTCTCTCTCTCTCTCTCCCCCTTTCTCTCTCTCTCTCTCTCTCTCATGTTCTGCCTCCGTCAGTCTCTTCATTTCTTCCATCTCTGCCTTTTTCCCCACCCCAAAATGTCTGCTTCTCCATCCCCCTCCTTCTTCCCTACCTCTCTCTCTCTGTGTGTTTCATTTTGTCTCTTTGCCTCTCAGTACCTCCACTATCTTTGTTCACATTTGCTTTCAGAGGCAAGGGGATGTGTGCGTTAGGGAGAGGGGTGACAGGACAGGGCTGTGTGTCCTAAAGAATGGGGGGTCCCCCTTGCCCCCACGGAAGGACTGAGTCAAGAATGTGCAAGGTGTGCGGGGACACAGAGCCCCACGCCGGGGGCAGGCTCGCCCTTGCTGTAAACTCTTGTTGCTGTTTTGAAATTCATATCTTTGCTCCAGATGGTCTTCCTTTTAATTTTGCACTTGACCCTGCAAATTAGGTCATTGGTTCTGCCCCTGGTTCCCAGAGAGCATCTTGTCCCACATTTCTGGGCAAGGGCCTGGTGGTGGGTTCCCTGGAGACAATCCGCCTTCTTTTAGTGGCTAGGCAAAGAGTCCTTCATGATGGAAGCCCCGCCCCCTTCCCGTGATTGGTCCCATTGTGCCTGGGAGCTCAAGCCCATATCCTCTGGCAAGATTGCATTAATTCCTGCCCTCCCATTGGTCCACAGAGACACCCAGCCAATGTCCTCTGGCAAGATTGCATTAATTCCTGCTCTCCCATTGGTCCACAGAGACAATGAGTCTCTGTGTTCTCGTGGGATAAAGGTCTGAGAAACCTGGTGTCTGTGGGATCTCATTTCTGGTTATTTCGGAAGCCAAAACGATCTGCTCTCTCCCCTCCAGGGTGACTCAGGGGGACCACTGATCTGCCAAGGCACCCTACAAGGCCTGGTGTCCTGGGGCGCGTTCCCTTGTGGCCAACCCAACGCCCCCGGTGTTTACACCCAAGTCTGCAAGTTCACCGACTGGATCAATGAGACCATAAAAAACAACAGCTAATCTCTCCGAGCTCCCGTCTCTCCAGCTCTATGCCTTGAAACCGGAAATTGACAGAAACCAGGACATCCATGACCTGCCGTCATAGTGGACTTGACCTTTGCTCAAAGTCATAGTAAAATCTCAACAATAGGATACGCGTGTAAACCAATGGAAATCAAGCCAAACACTAAGATTTAAAAAACAAACAACACCACCACCACCACCTCCTCAGTGCTGGCAGAGATGCCGCGAGACCAGGAGCCTCAACCACCT